TCAAAGGATCAGGGAAACTGAACAAAACCTGATCGAGATGGGGTCATTGGCCTAGAAATACAATACTTTGTATAATATGAAGTCAAAGCGTAAGGATATATATATGAAGAAGCAAAGAAAGTGAGGCTGCTAATTCATTGTAGTAAAACAAAATCTTTAAAAATAAATGCAAATGCCCAAGACACCTTTCAAATTAACCAGGAAAAGTAGATGATGTCCACAAATTTCAATATCTGGGGAGTACAATAACTGATGATGGAGGCGCAGATGAAGACGTTAAACAAAGAATCAACAAAGCAAATGTTTGTTTTATTAAATTAAGAGATATCTGGAAAACAGGAATATTGCCTTAAAAACAAAACTGTGCATTTTCAATTCAAATGTAAAGTGTGTGCTTTTAAGTGATCAGAAACTTGGAAAATAACACATAAATTACAAGTATTCATAAACCAATGTCTACGAAGAATCCTAAACATTAGGTGGTCACAACTAATAACAAATGAAGAACTGCTGAAGAAATCTGATGAAACATCTATAGTAATGACAATAAAACGCAGAAAATGGAACTGGATAGGACATACTTTAAGGAAACCTCGAAATTCAATTGAGAGAGAAACATTGTGTTAGAACTTACAAGGGAGTAGAAGCCAAGGTCGGTCGAGAGCAACCTGGATGACAGTGGGAGGAGAGATCCGGGAGACTGGTATGACGTGGAAACAAATCATCTCTATAACAGAAAACCGAGTAAGATGGAGATCCTTTGCCAAGGCCCTATGTTCCGAAAGGAACTAATGGCAGAAGAAGAATAATATCAAAGAAATTAAGTAAGTAACAAGTACGAGAAAGTCTGTGCCATTCTGTAGCACCATTAGTATAAGATGAAATATTTTTTTTGTAAATTGAGTAATTTGTTTCATACATTGCAATTGCCTACCTGAGAAAGAATTCAGAAGTTGTAAATCGCGCGCTTTGTGTATCGCAGAACGTCCATGAGCTGAGCCAACAGGCTGCTCGTAATAGTCCACAATGGCGTTAGTGTCGTCTTACGCCGAGAGGGATGCACTGTAGGGGCGAAACCTGGCGAGTACCGAAGATAACTCTGTTGCGTCGACGTACGTGGCCTTGATCAGCCTTGATATAATTGAAAGTTGTCAGTTTTTATAGTTTGTTATAATCAGGGTTTTCCGAATTTTACCTGTAGAAAAGACGACGGAAAATTACAGTTGGTGTGCGCAGAATTAACCGAAGCATCGAGGATAAAATATCAACCGTCTACATTTCATTTGCATTTGCAATTGTTTGTACGAAAGCCTGACGAGTTTTATCGCATTTTATGCTTACCTCTGAATATTTGTCATACAACGAATCTGAAATGTATAAAGTAATGAAAGCCACAATGTCATTTGCTGCTGTCATCATCACTGTTGTTTCAGTCAAATATTCATCAATCAATATGCAGTAATTAAGGTAAAGTTAAGAAGTAATATTTTATGAATAAATTAATTATGATATTATTTACGTTCATATTTTGGTGATTCTGTACTTATTTTTAAAATGTGTTAATATCCGCCTAAGGGGAGATTCGTTTCTTGTAGCTGTCAGTTTAGTTATGTAATTGTGTTGAACTGCTGCCAGTTTCCAGATGACACAATATTGTGTAATATACCAGTGACCTTTCTTCTCTTTCTTTGCTAATTGTCTTTAAAATTTTCAAATATGAAGGCCAATTTTTAAGCTATCACCAATAATAATGAAAAAATACTCTGAAAAATAACTTTCAAGCTTGAAAGTTATACCATTATGATTCAGAGTATAATGGCATTCAAATTACCTGAACTCTATTGTTAAATGCTAAATCCATTTAAAGATTCTTAATTTCTCCTTTTAGAGGAAAGAGTACAATTCCAGTAAACTTCTTTGACAGTTCTCTTGCAAGTGAAATTATAGTTAAAGAGGATAATGGAGATGCAAAGGCCAAAATATATTTTACTGAACTCCCATAAAACACGTTGCTTGATTAGTTTGCATGTCAATCCCAACTCTTCCAAGATATAACAGTTTTATTTGCTTCCTTTTTTTGTTGTCATTTTATACCCTTTTCTCAATTGATTTTGTATCAAAGATGTCTCATAATTTTTTTTTAAACACAACGGTTCCCAACTAATTTTATTTATTAATTTATCCATTAAATAGGATGATTTCTTTACATTACCATTTTATTAACAAATCTGACAAAGATCAAACATTTACTGTGATCATTACTAGGGTTTAGTGATAAATCCCATGAAAATATATTTTCTCCCTGCATAATTCTAACACTTTGTGATTTTGTGATATCCAAGCACCACGTGATTTATGTTGACTGTGTAATAAATATGACTGATTAAGTTAAATGGTATTTAAGGAATTGACTAATATCGTTCTATTACTTTTCAGGCAAAACTTTTTCTGATTATGGCTGCTTAAACACTTCGTAAATTGCCCCCTTTAGGGGGGCAGTTTTCCATCTTGGGATTTCAAGTTTCTGAGAGAACAAGACTTTGCAGAGGACGAAGATTGAAGGAACTGATGTGAAACTGTGTGGTGCTTATGCAGTCTGCATATATAAGGAGGGACTCAAATTTTTGTCAATTTGTGCAGCGAGTTTTGATATCAGGCCAAAGAATAGCATATATATGTAAATATATATCTTGATCTGTACACTGAGATTTTAACATACCTACATGTAAAAATATGTAAATATTTATTTATGAACTATTTTTCTATGTTTGTTTAGGCCATAGTTAGCAGAGATAGAGAACATTTTGTTTATTCTTGAACAAAAAGCTTCCACAATTTTTCTTAGGATTTCCTAACTGGTTTCTACTTCTGAAAACATAGTTCTCCAACTTCTGATGTCTAGCAGCCTTGCATTGTATTATCATATAGCTGTTTGATTAGGTCTTTTGTAATCCATGCAATGAAATCACAGCCAATGGTAACATTCTTTCAGGGGGGAAACAGAAAGCATTTCTGTGATGCCTGCCTTCATTGCACCGCACACTCTTACAGCTTGCTGATTGCAGCTGGGTTCAGGTTAGGTGTAGAGTATGTTGGATTGGGGCTTAATGATGGGAAATTCGTCCTCTTAATGAGATTACTCCAAGCTGAGAAACTTGGTCACTAGATCATTTGTCCTTTAGCAGCAAATGCAACAACTGTCCTTTAGCAACAACTGTGTCAGTCGATATTGCCCAGCATCTTGAAAATATTCATGTAAAATAAAGGCCTCTCATCTGTAAGTAACTATAATTGGAAGTAATTGAACTTTTTGATTGTGTAAAATATCATTTGTGCTTGTGAGAGAGAGAGGTGTATGTGCGCAGATAGATATTCATATTCATATTTAGTAGTAGTTAACTGTCTAGTTGTTTACATTAGGAGTTGTTTACAAGTTTGTAAGATCAAAGTATTAGAGTATTTATTACTTTAAAGAAAATTGTAAAGCATTACATCATTTAAAGTATTAATTAAGTTCTTGCCAAACTCCAATTGGAGTTGACTTTTCGTACTAGTTGTCAGAATTAAGTCTCAATTGTACTTTGTTGAAAGAAAAATTGATAACAATGGAATTGTTAAAGCTACCAGAAAGTGAATGTACCAATCGTTGTCAATCAACTCAACATGGGCAAATCCTTACGTCAACTCTGTCTCTTCGGGGCATCTCAAGTTCCGTTTTAATATCTTATATGCACTGGCTGTGTGGCAACTGTGGTCATGTGGCTGATGGATTGGGTCGCTCTGCATTGCATCTTGCTGCTTCGTGCGGTTGCTGTGAAGTGGCAAGGTGGCTGATCCGTCACTGCAGTGCAAACATCAATCTTAAAGATGCTGAGTCTGGTTACACTCCATTGCACCGTAGTGTGTTCTATGGCCAAATTCATGTAGCCATTTGCCTCATTCAGCTGGGAGCAGGGCTCACTTGCCTGGATCATGATGACCTCACAGCTCTTGATCAAGCGATGAAGGACAAGATGCCTCATGTGGACTTCAGTCTTAACAACCCATGTGAGGTGTACACGTGGGGGACAAATAATAACTACACACTAGGAATTGGCAATCAACGTGACCGAAGCATTCCAGAAATTGTTGAGTGCTTTAGAAAACAGAACATCAGCATTAGACAGGTGAGAGTCCCTTTATTCCTTCTGAATCATCATTATTACTATTACAATTATTACCATTGGTATTACGATTGTTGCTATGGTCCCAACCTACATCCAGCGTTCCACCTATCTCAACATAATTATTACTATTATTATCTTTATCATTATCATCAGTATCATGATTGTTGTGGTTGCCGCTGCAGTCATTTTATGATTGCTTTCATGTACTATATTTTCTCTTGAAGTAAGGTGCTAGTAAAACTATTAAGTTATTCAAGTTCATGATAATACGAATAATAAATTTTATTTTTTATTTGCCAATGTCACTGAGAGATTTGGGATTCCTGAGTTGCTAACTAATATTTAGAAAACTATGCTCATGAAACTTATGCCTTATATGCACCACATACTTCTAAGAATTTTGGGAAGCATTGGAAACTTCCACAATTTTACATACATGTTTCAAAAATTTCTCTGCACTATAAATATCTCTACACATTGAATATTGGGATTTTAATTATAGGTTTTATGAAAGAATTCAGCTGATTGTCTGATTTCATTTTAATTGGTATATTCGTGTTCTATCTTCTGTTTTTAAATTTTAGACAATCACATTGAAAACATATTTATTTCACATAGTTACATATCTGTTATATGTATGACAGTTTGGAAAACATTCATTTTCATCTTCAGCAACTGGAAAATAATTGAAATACTTAAATGTCATAACATTAATTGTTTAAACTTTTTAAAGGGGTGTATGGGTGCATTTAGGCCGTAAGTGTGTAAATTTTATGCCCATCAGGCATAAATAATGGTATAATGGCATGCAGCCATGCTGAAATACCAACAGGGAATTATTTTTGGTTTTGTAGATGTTCAACAATTTTGAACATTACCTCACTTCTGCATCATGTGAATCACTGGTTAAACCTGTTTCCATACAGCAGTCTAGATTTATGGGAAAACAACCCATTGCAGGAAAATATTTGTATGTGAACTGCCTTATCAGTTCATACTTCCCCTATACATTTCTATTGGTCTTGTTTGCATTATTTATGATGCACCGTTTCATTAAAATATCACAACATTGATAAAATATTTAGAAAATATACCACATACCCTTTCTGAACTCAAAATTAAATTTCTCCCATTAATTTATTTGAAGCATTGTGTGTCAGTAGCTTATAAGAGTAATGTGATATAACTCAAGAGACCCAAGTTCATTGCCTGGTCAGTATGAATAATGCTTTGAACTAATTAGTTAGAAAACAATACACAGTTCTTATAGACTGAATTGGTGCAAAATTTATTTGTTAGAAAATGTATAAATGTATTGGTCCATTTGAACTAATTGTTTGTTCCCAGGTTGCCATGAACAAATTCCACTCTGTCTTTGTGGCGCATGATGGAAGGGTGTTTTCCTGTGGTCATGGCCAAGGGGGTCGTTTGGGCCTTCAGAATGAGAAGGCCGCCCTCTTGCCGGGTCAGGTGGTGCTGACGCCTTCCATCGCTGGCACTGATGCTCATGTGGTAGCGGTCAGTGTGGGGCGAGACCACACTGTTTTGCTGACGGAAGGTGGCACAGTGTGGACGTGTGGTCTGAACACACACCACCAGTTGGGCCACTCTCCGCCGCCAGCCTCCCTGAACACACCCAAAGCCCTGAGCCCACGTGTGGTGCGAGGATTGGGCACGGTGCAGGGTGTGTGTGCTGGTCGTTTTCATACGGTTATCTGGAGCACAAAGGGAGTGCTGACATGTGGTCTGCACGCAGGACAGCTTGGCCACTCCAAGGGTTCTGAGGCGACAATGGTTGTGCCACGTATGGTGACTTCTGTTTCGCATAAGGATTGGCAAATCACACATGTGGCTGCAAGTGATGGAGCCACTGCTGTTGCTACGCAGAAGGGAGATGTTTTTATACTTTATGAATACCAGTGCCGCAAAATAGCATCTCGTTTGCTTGATGTAGTTAAGGTAAGTTGTTTATTTGAATGTAGATATAAAATTCAAAAAAATGTAAGGCTCTACTCAAGGGGAGGGGGATTAGATAAAATTTTTTTTAGATCTAACATTGAGGAATAGAGTGCATTACATAAAAAATCTGTAGCTTCAATGTTGAAGGTGGAAGACTAGTTGAAACAAAATCTACACTTAGCAATTTTCAAAATTTTGGGAGGTATTAAATAGTATATAGTATAGGTGCGGAGCAAAAATATACTAGTACAGAAAATATTAAAATGTATATGCCTTTTCGAAACCCCAAGAACGGAAAAGGTTTTAACCAAACTTGAGGAAAATGATTCTAATTTATTGCTAAATATCAGTTACTGCCAAATATCATTTATCGCTAATTATCTTTAAGTCTTAAATATAAAAATATGTTATTTTGATTATATTGCAATTTATTTTGGGATCCGCAGTTGATACTCCTTGTCTTCCTCTCTCCCAGCATTTTGGAGATAAAAACCGCAAACAGTGGTACTAGAGAGCTTCAAAATTTGGCTCTACATGCAAGGAAGGGGACAGCAGTGTGTGAGCTCTATCTGCGCAAAATAAATTCAGGCATTTATAGATTAAATAAAGAAATTGATTTAAGTAAAATTATTTGATGATGTTTATTGATTTAAGTGAAAATTAAAACTAGTGTAACCGCAGCACATATTTTATTGCATTACTTATTACTGCTCACATTATTTGTAGCACATTATATAGACATGCAAGGATAATTTTGTGTATAAATTGATCATCCAGAACTAAAGGCCATTCAATATATCGCATTATGAAACTACCATATCATTCTTCATGCATATCTGTAGATATATTCTTCATTTTAATATAACTATAAATAAATAAATAAATAAATAAATATATATATATATATATTGAGAATGTCCTAGGGCCATTATGGAAAGTTCTCTCCAAAATTAAAATAACGGTTTTAAATTCGAGGGGCTGCGACATCAGCCAGATTAATTGGGGAATATCAATTTTCGAGGAAATCAGGTAAACAGTTTAGCCATTTACACAGAGAGACAGAAAAATAGACAGGCAGACATTTTTCCGTCAATCAATTTTTCAGTATCAAGGACCCACAAAACATGAATTCTAACTACAAGTGTTTGGGGAAGTAATTTATTATGTAAAAAGACACCATATATACACTTTTTCGTTTCCAGGGCCTTGCAATAAGTGTTTCTGTCGTCTCTTTATGTACTACCACATTGTTTTCTTTTTCAAAAGATGTTTAGATAAGCTTTCTTTTACAGGTTGTGGTAATGGGTGGCCACCTGGACAGCAAAGTTGATGCTAATGTATTAATGGACCAGGGTGGAGATCAACTGAAGGTTGCTGTGCTCACAAGCACAGGAAAGTTCCTTCTGTGGCAAGAGTCGTCGCAGCAGATGGTGCGATGCATGTTCAGTTTAAACCGGCCTCTCAACATTACAGATGTTGCCCTTTCTAGAGGAAGTGCCATGCTGCTTGTCACTAAAGATGGTGAAGCATTTGAAGGAGAACATAGAGCTCGGAAACAAAAGAAGGCTCAGAGTTCTGCCGCATGCCCTATGAGTGGATCATCTGCTTTTCATGAGTTTCTGGACAGAAGTGATTGTGAGCAAGTAAGTGTCATGTGAGAAATAATACAAAGAGCTGACAAGCCATTAAATCATTGAATTCAGCTGCAAACATGGTGAATTAAAAGATTAAGAAAATTACATATGTGTTACACCCATTACGTTTGTTACATCCATTACGTTTTTGTCCACTTGTCATTTAGTCCTTGACATACTTTTGTGTCTAAATGTAACTTTGTCCTTCATTAATTTTTGTTTAGAAATTTTTGTCCAGTCCTTTTTAGGTCTGTATGTTTTGTCATTCTTAATAATTTTTGTCCCTGATTTGGTCCAGATTTTTTCTTGAAATAAATAGAGCCAGGCTGAAAATATTATTAAGAAAAAAAGAGGGGTAAGTTAGACATGAGGCGATTGTTGTGTTTTAGGTGTTACGAAACTGCTCGCAAGTATTGTTTCAGGTATTTTTTTTTATATCCATTGTAATGTCATTGTAATGTGTTTAACAATTCTCAATTTGAAATTTACTGGTGAACGAAAATTCTATGGACTAACACAATTGGACACGAGAATGTTTTTTGCAAATAATTTTGGGTGAAATTTTCACTTGAATAAAAAGATTAATGGGATATACCTAAAAGCAAAGAAATCAGTGTATTTTGACAACACAGGGCGAAAACATAGGAAAACTGACTGTTATGATTAACGCCCACATATTTGTTTCATCAGCTATTTTCTAATAAGAATTGTGATTTGTACCCCTCGATATCTTACCAGAACTAAAAATGGTAATTAATGCTCATAATTTTTATTTCAATTTTAAAATATGTTCAATTACATAAAAAATTTGACTAAGGCATCTACCTAGAATAATCGGACTGGTTTACTGCCATAAATTTTCTCAGGTTCACCTGGAATAGAATTCAGTTTGTTCTTGATTCTCCCAGCAGATCTCTTGTTTTTCTCTCACATTCTATTTGATTGCACATTTATTTCCTTTGAACGAACTGACATGATGTACCAGATTCAAAAGATACTGCAACTTTTCTTTCTTGTATGCATGGTGCAGAAAATATTTTATTCTGTGAACAATCAATGTCAAGATTTTGATGGAGATACACATTTTGGATGTCCCTGATTCTGGAAAATGTTTGTTCTAAATGTCTGTCTATCTTCGAATTATATCTAAATTAGATATAGGATTACAGCAGTTGCTATGGAAGGTTTAGATATGATGTGTTGCGGTCTATTATTACTTTTCCAAGAATGTGAATCTATCGCAATATTCTTTCTGAGTAATGTGTGCAAGTTGGAACTTGCTTGGCTTATTGCTGTTGCTAAGAGGCCTACCTTTCTTTTCATTGACACAGCATTCAGTTATTGTCAATAAGAATGAAGCCGACAAGAGAGCACTTTCATGTAATGATTCTTTATGATTTTAAAAGTGGTTAAAAAAAATGACTTGATCATTTGCAATATACCTTTCGGCTCCTTGCGCCTTTCCATGCAACAATTTTAGAGTGGTTTCAAGAATTCAGAAGAGGCAGAACTTTGTTGAAAGATGAGGAGAAGAGCAAGCGTCCGTGACTGCAGTGACCGAAGAAAACGTTGTCGCTGTTGAAAAATTGGTGTGTGAAAACAATCGTGTGATATTGAAGGAGATTGGAGGGTACCTACAGATTGGATCGCTGTCAGTTTCCAAAATATGCATGAATATCTTCGAGTCAGGAAAGTTGCATCTCGATGGGTGACTCACACTTTGAGAATCACAGAAGTGTGTCCATGTGGAATGGGGTGAAGAAATGTTGAAAAGATTTAAAAGAGGCAACTCTATGCTCGTTTCTGACAGTTACTGGTGACGAAAAGTCCTGAAAAGTGCCAGTCTACTGTATGGATTTTTCCCTATGAACATCCACTAACAAAAGTTCGGCGCTCTTGAAGTGTTGGAAAGAAAATGGTTGCAACATTCTTTTCCAAAAGTGGTCATATCTCAGTTGTTCCCTGAAAGGGCAAAGAACTGTTGCTGTTCGGTGGTACACAACAATATGTCTACCAAACGTTTTTTGCCAAACTTCAAGAACAGTGACCAAAGACAGTTCTTCCTGCGGGGAATCTTCCTGCACCATGATAATGCGTCTTCACATGTGACCAACCTCACAATGCAGTTCCTGGAGTCAACAGAGGTTAAACTAATAACTCCCCCACCTTCCCCTCCAGACCTGGCCCCATGTGATTGTTGTCTGTTCCCTACAGTCAAAAGTAGCATGTGAAGAAGGAGGTTCTCAAGCCTTGAAGAAACTGTTGATGCCTACAAAAGTGAACTTCAAGCACTCAAAGAAAATGAGTGGAAAAACTGTTTTGATAGTTGGTTTACAGGAATGCGAAAATATATAGAATGTCGTGGCGAGTATTTTGAGAAAATATAGTTATCAAAATTATTTCTAGTTTTGTAGTTTTTGTGTATCTCAAAACTTCCGTAGGGACCCTTGCATTCACCAAAATAGTTATTCCTTAATTGATCTATCTGATGTCACTGCTCCTTGAATTTAAAAATTGTACTTTACATTAAGTCTCAGGGTCATTTTTGATACTTTTATCAACAGTGGCTCCAAACATTCTCTTTACATCTTTTGTGTGAATAGATGAAAGGATGCTTATAAAAGTGGTGCTGGTATAATTTTCATTAAAACCTCTAAAAGTTAAAAGTTGGATGAAAGAATAACTTTACCCTGAAAACACCTTTACAAGCCAAATTACTTTTAAAAGTTTTCTCTTGTGAGTTTGCCATATTTCCTTCATTGGTAGGTAATCTGACTTGAGGTACATTAATTTTGTTAATTTCATTGGGAATGCATTTTAACCACTAATTTACGGTAATATATAATAGTATAAATTATATATCAATATGTCCTTATATTTGATTCTTGCCATATTTTCATGCAAGATGTTGTTCTGGAGAAAGTGTTAACACATGACAGGAGATACATATTTAGGATATACTTAAGGGGGAAAAGTGCATATTTTGTGTAAGAAAATGATGCTAACTTGAATTATATGTATGTATAGGTTAAGCCGTTTTCCATCCAAATACTAAATTTTGTGAATTATAGAAGTGAAACATTTTGGGACCCCTTCCTGAAAGTATATTATTGAAGAGAGATTTTTTCCTTCTTTGTAATATAATCTTCAAAATTACATCTTCAAATAATATCCTGAACAATGTTTAAAATATATGGGTAGTTTTCAGGTAATTTTAAGTGAAAACAGGATGCTTAAAAATTAGTGGAAATACATGGCCTCCGCTTAGTGCTATTACTCAACATCTACTAACATATTCTTGAAAAGTGTAATGTTTATACATTTGAGGTCTACATTCTCTCTGGCATCAATATATGCTTTAGTAACGATGTACGACTGGTTTAAAAAAAAAGGAATGTTTGCAATTTTCAAAATTTCAGATTTAATGAAAATCAAAATTATTCTATGTTTATAAATGCACTTTCTTCTCTTGGAGCAGTAAAATTAAAGAAAAAATTTCAGAAATTCTTCAGAATTTTCACAGACGCATCATGTAAAGTATCCACAAAAATTCAAATATCTTCACGATCCCTGCAAAGCCAGAACTAGATCTTTCTCGTGATGCATTTACCAAGTTTCAGTTAATAGCTTGTAATCTGTTAGTTATGTGTGACAAATACATCTGCCATCCATTAGCCACACAGACTGTCCCATGTAGCTACTTAATGCACATTGGTTTAAGAGTTTTATTTTGTTGCAGGTAAGAGTGAAGAGACTGCTCCATATCCACCGAGCTGTCAGTGTAAACTCAGATCCGAAAGGACAGAATTGTGCCATCATTCAAACACATCCTCAGGCAGCATTGCTGGCAGTCCCAGTGGTGGAAACGTCAGAAATGCGAGAACAAATGAAGGTTCTTTTGCAAGATTCTAGACCTCAGGATACTATTCATGATGTAGTCTTTCTTGTTGGGTCAAGAGAATTCGCTGCCCATCGCTTTGTAGTTGCATCACAGAGTGAACCTTTAGCAAAATTAATGGAGAGCAAAATTGTAGATTCAGGAGAGGTACTTCGCTTGAAGATAAGCAATGTTAAACCTGAAGTATTTGAACAAATTCTACTGTACATTTATTCTGGTGAATGTGATCTGTTGAAACCGGGAAATTGTTGTCTTCAGAGTTCAAACAACGAGAGCAAAGAAAATGAAGAATTGCTTGATATAAACACTGTTTCTGCCTATTCAGTGTATTCTGGAGAATCTAATAACAAGAAGACTAAAAATAAACAATCTCAAAAGAACCAGTCACAAAAGAAACCAGACAATGATCCTGTTAGAATCTTACAAGAGACTGCCCGAAGATTTGGTCTTACATCATTGCAGAAAAAATTAGCACATGTTAAGTATGAAAATGATGTGATTGTTACAAAATCGTCAAGTTGTATGCAAGCTACAGACATCACATTTGACAACAAGAAACATCAGAATTTGTATGATGTTACTATATTAAGTGAAGATGGGAAGGAAGTAAAAGCACACAAGTGTATGCTAATTGCAAGGTTGGAATATTTCAATAGTATGTTAAATCATGGGTGGTTGGAGGCTTCCCGCAGTAATGTTCTTCGCTTACCAATTCCTCATAATGTTTTGGAACTTCTTGTTGAGTTTCTATATAAAGATGATTGTTCTGTAGTTCACAAATCTGACAATGTGGATCTTGTATGCAATGTCTTAGTTGTTGCAGATCAGTTTTTTGTCACTCGTTTGAAAGAAATCTGTGAGGTCACTCTTGCTGGATTGATTACTCTTCGTAATGTGGCCATAGTTCTGCAATTTGCAGTCACTTATAATGCTAACCAATTGAAGCAGTGTTGCATGCAATACATATGTCTTAATTTGCCAGCTGTTTTGGAGATTCGTGGACTGGAGAATGTGGATGATTCAATTTTAGAAGAACTTAGTAAATATTATCGAGATTTTAATCCAGTAATGTCAAGTCGTGTCATAACACCTTATTCAAATGCACCCAACCACTCCCTTGTGGAAGAAGTTGCACAGGCGTATCCTGTTGCCAGCAATGATAAGGAAGATTCTGATGTATTTGAATTGTCTTCTAAGAGAAATTTGAAGTCTGTTAAGAAGAAAGTACGTGTGCGCAAGACTAGTGTTAATGATACAAATAAAATTAATGAAAGAAACAGAAATGAATCTTTTTCATCAAATCATTCTGGAAATTCAGATGAAGATGTAAAACAGACACTTAGTTTAAATGATTTTACACAAAGAAAGAATGCTGATGATGTTACCTTAGAACTACGTGATTTAGAAATTAGCAAAGAGCATGGATCACCAGAAAAATGGGTGAAAGTTGCTAACTCAAACAGTAAGCATTTGAAATGTTCTAGAGTTACGGCCATTTTAAAGGCACAAGATGCTGTGAAGCATCAACAGGATGTTGTTAATCAACACAATGTTTTTACTACTCTTTCACATAGGACAAAATCTTCTCCTCAGTCAGTGCCTGCACAAAAGCAACAACAGCAGATTATTTGCACGTCTCCGAGTCCTCCTGCAAATATGCCTCTTCCTGTTCCCTCTTCACCTCCTAATTTAATCTCAGATTTTCCAGATCTTAATAGTCCTTCTTCGTCACATGAGACTCATCACAGAAATGTTCGTAAAACTCCTGAGACAAAGAGCCATACAAAGATTTCACAAAAACAACGCAAGAAAATGGCAATGGATGCTCTAGAACACATTGAGAAAGTAAATAATTCAACTCATTTTGCATGGAGTCTGTCTGGCGAAGTATCAAACACCTCTCTCACTGATATCATGCGGGAAGAAGCACATCACCTCAATCGGCAAACAGCTCCAATTCCTGTGACGCCTAATCGCTCTTCTGGTTGTCTCCCACCGGAGAGCCCTTCCACCAGCAACCCATGGTTGAAGTGTCACACGTCTCCTGAGGGGTCTTTGGAGACAAAGTTCTGCGACATTGTGGCAGATGAGAAGAAACAGCGTGAAAATTGGACCAAGATGCGGGCTAAACCTCTAGAATTTACTCAGTTGGAAGACAAAGCCATTGAGGATCTTTTGGTATTTTACAATGCAACAGGTGTGTCAGCAGAGCGGATCACCGTGCGAAGGGTTGTCACTGGTACAATAGCTACTCCGACCTGGATAACTTCCTACCACTAAGCCCCTTTAAGCTTGTTTAGAATGTCAAAGTTTCGTGAGCTCTTGCTTCTTCCCCAATTTGCTACATTAAAATTATATGTGTGGGTAGGCTCATTAGATAGAATGTAGAAGTATAAAATGTCAGAGATGCTCCCAAATAGAATGGTTTAGTTGGATCTGTCCATTTTCATTGTAAAACCTTTTATTTGTAAAGAAAGCTTCATATATGTTTTCAATCATAAAAAAAATTTAAGACACAACTAATGTATTCAGTATTTTGTAAGGTGAAAGTGTGCTCACCTTTGGTTATTTTTTTGTTTTAAAATCATGAGGTTTAACCTGTGGAATCATGTTACTGTGGCTACAGAAAAATTGCCAATATTACTTGGATGTTAATGGGTTTGATTTTCTAACTTAGTTAAATTAATAATCTTGAAAACATCAAAATTTTTTGGATCCATCTTGAATTTCGTTTCTTGGAACTAATGTCATGACCATTTTCATGTTTGTTGCATTTAAGCATTTTACAGTACCTATTTTCAGTGATGTTAGTGGACTATAAACTTGTGTACAAGTAATAGAAAAAGTCAATACAGTTGCCCTTGTTTTGACCTCTTGTTTGAGTTTTGGGAAAGTTATGTTCTAATTCATTGACTGTATTCTATTGAATGTAGATTCACATATTTTAAGGTATGTTCACCTGCAGTTTGTGTTGTGAATTATCTGCCAGTACCTTGAATTTTCATATTGGATAATACCAGTGCAGTATTTTTCGCCATGTGTGTGTGTGTGTGTGTGTGTGTCTGATGAAGTATATTTTGTGTGTAGAAGAAGATAAGAGCTATCTTCAATTGTACTGTATCATTGCATTGTCAATTCTGAGTTACAGTTCAGTTTTTTGTGTAATGCTAAACCAGGCTACCTTTGGGATGTTACGTTAACTTAACATTTTTTGCTTTAAATACATGAATTGTTTATTTCTTGATTTCCTAATGCCAAAGAGTGGCAATTGAAAGAATTCTATTTGTTTTTAACTGCTGTTATATTATGTATTGTTTCATCAGTTGGGCACCTGCACTTTTTCTTTGATACTATCTCTTAATTTTACTCAATTGTATGCATTTATAGTTGAGTGGTGCTGTTAGATATATGTAATAATTCGTGTTTGACATTAGGAAGCTGATATTCAAGAATTAATAAAATGTTCGAACTGGAATTTTTTTTTCTTTTATCCTGTGGATTTATTGATAGTGTTTTGTAGAGGAACCAAAATTTGTCCAGCAGTCCAAGATATGTGGGAGAGATTTCTCTGAACAGGTGGACCATTTTTAGATAATTTTGTTAATTGGAAAAGACAGGGAAAATTAAGGAAATTTTGTTAGAAGTCAGGAATTTTTTAATTTTAATTTTTTTATATCTCATTATAGAAGGTAACTCAGTCGAAATCTGTAAAAATTTGAGATATTTCAAGAAGTTTGCTAGTATTTGACATTTGAATTTGATAACTAAGACCGTGTCTTGTTTCTCACTTGTCGATGGTGATCTTCCTGTGCTGGATGGTGAAATCCAGCACCGACCTACACGTCGGCCAGTAGTTTCCCACGCCAGGTATCTTCCCCAGCCGGGACAAGCTCTAAGCTCCCGACTGATCTGACATGTGTAGTAATGTAGTGCGTGTGTAACTATCTCACACAGTATCACAAGTTGTTACAAACATCTAAATATCCATTTCAAATTTTTGGCAGATTCAATTTCGTTCGTTCTCATCGATCGGGAAACATCAATTTGGGAGATCGTCGGGTTTAGAACGAATTTACAACCTTAAGAGAAAGAAATTTCTTTCATCGACCCCCATTTAAAAGTATTGTTGGCTCCATCGTCCCCGTGAAGCAAGAACGCGGCTGTTAGAATGTTTAAATTTAACTCTGAAAGATTTCGGCCGTTTTTACGTCGCACCAAAGACGTGCGGGAACAGTTTGGAACGTATACGCACAAGAACTATTGCATGGGGCGGATCACGGGGTTTAAGATTACTGAATTCCACGAGCTTCTAGATGGTTACGGACCAATTAAAGCTGATAGTATCTGCAGAGATGCACGACCATTTTATCGATGAGTGGGAGATCTTGCAGCGTCTCTCGAGCTAGCAAAGAAACTCGATAATTGAGAACAACCAAGAAGGCTGGAAACGCCGTTTCTCTAGGTACACGAGCAACGAGAACACAGGTAAAACAGGTGGACCAGGCGACGGATGGTACGCCGCGAGTCGCAAAGCAGCCGCAATCTAAGATTAATCACACTGCCGAATTTGAAAGGTCTAACACTGCCAATATGCTGGACATTTTCGTAGACAATGCCCAGAGCGAATAAGTGGAGTAGAAATCACGTGGCCGACACGCAAGGTCAAGCATTCATGAAACCCTTCACGAGCGTCGGAAAGGTAAATAATGTTCATTGTAAAATACTTTGTGATTGTGGTGCTACTTATGATCTTGTAAGTGGTTAACATGTGACAGACGACTAGATGACCGGGGAATCCGTATGGATAATGCAACCTCTCGATGCAGATCCAAAGAAGCTGACGGTGGCGCGTGTCACATTAGAAAGCCCCTTCGGCAGGTTCGTTACAAGGGTAGCCGTAGCGAAGAGTAATTGCCCGCTCGATTGCTATTTATTAAGTAACCTTTCGGTCACCAAGGTTCAAGGGGAGGTTGTTGAACCACAAGTAGCATGTGTGACACAGGCAAAGTCACATTAATATGAATTTGTGATTGTCTAAGGTTTGTGAGAGTTTGTAATATTTGTTGCCCAAGGTTATGATCACAGTAAAATTGTAAATTATTGAAAATTTTGGAGGGCAACGTGATTAATTTTAGAGTTAATGATTCTAATTGTTCTCTATTGGGGGGAAAAAGACATTAAATATTGTTGCAGATTGATGGCAAGGTATGATGTAAACATATATTAAGAAATTGGGATATTTCACGTATCAATTGAAGATAAAGTGTAATTCTGTAAAGTATTAATGATAGGTCGGCGTACATTCTTGGAATTTTTTTTTCTCTGAGACTCAAAGAGGCTGCGAATAAAATTCCACCCTCAGTATGAGAAAACTTCGTGGCGTGCCCGCTGGACCTCAGAAGTCGCGAGGCTGGCGAGGGGGAGGGGTTGGCCATCTGGCGGCTTCCAAGCTCGGAGGGTGCAGGCCGGGGCGCGCTGTCGGAAGGTGGGTGTCAAGGCGGGGGGACGATATGTGACGACAGCGGCGGCGGGTGCAAATTTGCAATGGGCTCAAACTTCGTTAACGGGGTGACGCGGGCCGCGGGTCGACTTCATTGGAGGTTGGTAAAGTGAGTCCTCGAAAAGCGGCTAGCGAAGGAACGGCCGGCATTCGAGTTTGAACCGAATCGCAGTGCGGAAGGCACTTGTCACCCGGCTGGGGTTATCGCTAGCTTCGGCTGCGAGGTGAGGCGGTTCGCCACGGGACGGGAGGCCAGGAGCAGCGCTAAGGTTAGCCGCTGGGGTATATGTCAGGCTGAAGCGGGATGCCTCGAGGAAGTGCAGCGCTAGTTCCTCAGGTGTGTAATTATACAATAGAAACATTGTAAAGTACGTAACAACTCCGTGTCTGCGTTTGGCTCGCACCCCGATATAGTGTAATAAAGAAATAGAAAAAAAAGTAGTAATAACTTCGTAATTTATAAAAAGGAGCAAGATATTATCCTAGAAATCTCCTTACAATGTGAAGTTCATTCTATTCACGCGAAACATTATTGCTTGTACACTTGAATAAATTCCCTTATTCCTGGACTGTTAATACTTTTCGTGACGTTCAGACGTCCTTGTCACATTGGCACGTCGTCACGTTGGCAAAGAGGAAAGAACTTAGCCGTGACGTAAAGGAAATCATCGTAACTCTCGGTTTACGAGGTTATTCTGTGAGAGAAATTAGATGCATAGTGAACAAACTCCATTCTACAGTGAAATAAGCAGATGATCTTCTTCCCCATTTATCGCATGCAGTTTTTTACTGTTTTTTGACTAAATAAATCTAATCTTATCTAAAGCATGTGTGAAATAACTTTAATACAACGGTTTAACAAAGGACCAAGAAAAGCCAAGAGAAAGAAGTTCAAAGACAGGGAATTAGTTCCGTAATTCAACAGGTGATGAAAACTACAACATTGCGTGCTCTCAGCATCTGTAAAATGATGAAACAAATCACGCAAAATAAACTATCAAACCAGACAATTCGCAGAGTACTGGGTAAGTAGTAGTAAGTAGAAAAAATCGACTTGTGAGAATTAAATTCTGCAGAAAGCACGGAAATAAAGATACTTGATCAGGAATAATGTTATTTGGTCGGATTCAATGAAAATAACTCTTTATGGTTCTTATGGATGGTATGGAGAAAGGGAAATACGACCAACAAACTTGCAATACTCTTCCTACTGTGAATCATGAAGGTTCTGTGATGTTTTGGGGGTACATGTATAATGGGGTTTGAACTATGCAGATCATCGACGGCATTATGAACAAATGGGGAAATAAAATATAGGTCCAATAAAATTTAGGTCCAGGAACGCGCCCCACATTAATTATTAATTTAATAGAAATAGTTATATATGTGTAATATAACTAGCGGAACCCTTAGTCATTGTTCTGCCTTTCATCTTCCTCTTTCTACTCTCTCTCTCTCTCTCTCTCTCTCTCTCTCTCCGTCTCTGTCTTAGTGTATCTGACTCTATCTCTGTGTCTCTCTGTCTCTGCCTCTCCCTATCCCCCTCCTGCCTGTCTCCGACTCTCTGTCCCTCACTTTCTCCGTCTCTCCGTGTCTCTCTGGGTCGGTTTCACCAGCCGGAGTCAAGATGATCCTGATTTGATCCGAGTCAATTTCAGTTGATCCCGTTTTACGTTTCTTCGCGCACTTAAAACGGATCAAAGTGTCTGACTCTGATCAAATTTGACTCGAAAACTGATCTGTCGCTGACCGACGGATCACGGCCGGATCAGGAGTTATTTCTTAGCTTGGTCGCTGCAACTGCTCGTCTTGCTATTTCAGTTTCCCGTATTTTTTATGATCTGTAGTTGAACTTTGATTCAGTTTAGAAGTATTCGCTAACAAGTAGAATTGTGCGTAATAATTGTTGGGCAAATGTGTTTTTTAAGATAGTATTGTAAATAAAAGCAGGGTTAACACAATTGTAGGTAAGAACAATTGGTATCGGGAAGTAAAATTTAAATATATTTTGGCTTCAAATTAGTGTTGATTATAAGTATCGTTTGTAAAATAGCATTTTGTTTGTTTTAGTCTATTGGAGGCAATATCTTTCCATATTTCTATCTGATTTTTGTGACATCTGTATTGCAATTAGAGTGGGATAGTTTTATTGAATACTTTTTTTAGTGTAGTAATACTTTAAATTTTTGTTCTTGTTAGGTTAATTTTAGTTTGTGGCGGAGTTTGCTTTCGTTGATGAAGTCATTGAAGATTAATTGTGGGGAGACACATGGAGACCACGAGTAATTCCCAAAAGAAGCGATTGTTTTGAATTGTCGGAACGATCATTGAAAATTTCTTTGTATTTGCTCATTAAGCTTTCGAGCAATTTTCTGTTAACTGGAGAGAAATTGGGCCCCTCTATGCATTCTTTCCAACCTCCGTTGAATCCATCACACAACAGGGAATGAAATCAAAACAACTCGGTTCCTACTGCTGACCGCGAGAATTCCCACAAATCATAGCAACATTGTTGCCAACCGCGCATTTTCACGACTGCTCACGAATCATGGGATCCGGATTAACTTCAGTCTCAAACCGTTGCGTTGGTGAAACGCACAGGGATCAAGTCAGCGTTGACTTCGCGGATCAGGATGACGAAACTCGGATCAACTGCGAGTTTGATCCTGGTTGGTGAAACTGGCCCTGTGTGTCTCTCTGTCTCTGTCGTGACTTCGGCCTCACCCTGCTCAGCAACAATGATGCCCAGATGGTGCGCACTTTGAATAGAAAAAAAAAATTACAATGAAGTTAAATTTATGTTCTGCAGCGCCATCTAGTCGAATTACAACATTATCAGCCCATAAACCATCTCGGTGAAAAAATAGTAGATGTTCCCTCTTAAATGGAGATCGAGCACACGGTGTCCAAGTTTACTGCTCAAATATACCAACATTCACGTGTACAGGTGTCCCACCAACTATGGGCCACCCTCA